TACATATATTTAAAAAGCCTACAATAACTCAAGCTAAAGCTTGTATATGAAATAGCCCTTATCAACATCTGATTTCTGACTTTGAGACAAACCCTGTTGGAAGAGGAACTACATGCTTCTGACCAAGGGCTACCATTTTATGAGCCTTGAGATCAGAAGTGCTCTCTGGACTTGGCAGCTTTCCTTTTGCCATAAAGCAGTGAGAGGCTCCCTATAACTTCCCGGCCTATACAATAGCTACTCTAGGCAAAGATGGCTTTTTGTTTTAAAGTCTTACTTAGAACAGAGTGGCAGGATAAGGGAAATAATGGCTTTTAAAGTCGGAGCAAGCAAACTAAAAGGGGTCTTATCCTCTTGGTGTTTATTTCTTGGACCAGATTTCTAACCCTTCTCTGAAGCCCCCCGTCGAGATCAGGACAAACAAGATGAAAGGGAGAAAGCAGAGGAAAGGGAACAAAAGAACTTCAACCTCAGGGAAAACACAAACAGGATGAGTCTGTGTGTTTGATTTTGCATCCCCTGGATGTCAGGAGAAGTGATAAGTACACACGAAGGAGCAGGGCTTTCTGAGCAAACTGAATTAAATCTCTCAAAGTTAGACATGTGAAAGTCCACAACTCACATCACAGGCTTATAGCCACCGTGGTATTACCTGTGGAGGCCCATTTCTCTGCAGGAAAGCAGAGTTTCTCTATCCCTTTGGCTCTAGCATGGCCCACCTGCCACCTTGTTGAGGAGATGGAGATGGTAAAAGCAAACAAACTCCTGACTGTATGGAAGGCTTTCCTCGGGTGTTTCATGTTCCATCTATTGAACTGTTCGTTATCAGGTCTGCCTGAGCTTATGAGCAAATCTGCCAACTCTATTTTTTTTAAGAGAAAGAAAGGTAATGGCTGCCTTAGTCATTTTTATTCAGGTGACAAGAAAAGTCATTCTGAATACAAATGCATGGGATTGACATGGAAGGTGTATGTGCTTGTAAAGGACAAAACAACCTTTGAGAATACTCTGCTGGCTGGATCCCACTGTGATGGACCAAAATATTTTTCTTAACATATCTTCTCTTGGCTCAGCCATCTAAACAACTTTTGTGCAAATATCTTAGCCCTTTTAATGATCTTTTGGAAGAAAGACACATTTGAGAATCTACTGAAAGCTGTGGACCTTGTCCTGGAAACACACACACACACACACACACACACACACACACACACCCCTACATACAATGCTAGGGAATTCATAGATCTACTAGAATGTATACATGGACAAGCCAAGCCCTGGGGCTCCACATGCTGCAGCTGACTCTGGACACAACTTCCCTCCCCCAACTGACCCAAGCCAAGAGCCCTCAGCCACCCAGCAGGCAACCCAGAGGAGGTGGGGGGGGGGCAGGGGGGAAGCCCGACATGCACAGTGGCTGAGGCAGCCACCAGGGCAAACAGTGGCCCCAAGGAGGGTGCAGCATTGATGCCCCAGCTCCTGGTCTGGGAGATGGTGGCCCAGGGTCCTCGCATCTACTTTCAGGGTGCCCCTGGTACTGCAGGTGAGGGACCCTGGCAGCTAAAGGATGATGGCCCAGTGAAGCGCCAAGGGAAGGTCGCAATCAAGTACAACTGCAAGGAGTTATGGAAGCGCCTCAACCTGGAGGACTGGATCCTGGAACAGCTCACTCGCCTCTAGGACTGCCAGGAAGATATCCTGGGGCTGGAGATTGATGTGGATGAACTCCTGGACATGGAGAGTGATGACACCCAGGCTTCCAGGGTCAAGGAGCTGCTCTTTGACTGTTACAAACCCACTCAGGCCTTCATCTCTGGCCTGCTGGACAAGACTGGAGGCATGCAAAAGCTGAGCACATACCAGAAGAAGTAAGGGTCCTCAACCCAGGTGAATGGTGGCTCCCACAGGACAATCGCTGCCCCCTAACCTCCCTTGTAGCAACAGCAATACCAAGGGGCCCAGCAGCCAGGCCTGCTGCCATGAGCAGGGTTCCCTGTGCCCCTCGCTTAGGGTCCTCTTCCCTACCCCTTGTTTTCCATTTTTTGGATTTTTATTGTAATTAAAGTGGTGGGACTTAAAAAAAAAAAAAAGAGAACCTCCTCATGGTCTAGGACAGTGATGGCGAACCTATGACACGTGTGTCAGAGGTGACACGAGAACTCATTTTTTTGGTTGATTTTTCTTTGTTAAATGGCATTTAAATATATAAAATAAATATCAAAAATATAAATCTTTTTTTATACTATTGTTGCAAATATCAAAAAAATTTCTATATGTGACACGGCACCAGAGTTAAGTTAGGGTTTTTCAAAATGCTGACACGCCAAGTTCAAAAGGTTCGCCATCACTGGTCTAGGAGAAAAAAATAATTAACATTTATTAGGTACTTATATATCAGGCACTATTCTAAGTGTTTTAAGTAGATTTTCTCAATTAATTTTACCCCCCCCCCCATAGGGTAAAGACTACTGTTTTCCATTTTACTGATGAGAAAACAGTGTCAAAGAAAGTCACTTGCTCCAGGTCAAACAGCCAGCAAGTGGCAGAGTCAGGGTTCAAATCCAGACCATCTGGCTTTGGAGTTTCTCCAAGCTACAAAGTCACAGCTGTGAAATGAAACAAATGAAAGCATTTTTTTTTCTCCTGGCTGGTTTTGCTCAGTGGATAAACCATTGGCCTGCGGACTGAAGGGTCCCAGGTTATTTTTCCACACTGACTATAATTGTAGCAAGTTCCCTTTTTGTGTGGGGTTTGGGAGGAAGCATGTGGATGATTTGCCTCTCCAGAGATCTGAGAAAGTAGGGATAATAAGGCACTGGGTAAAGGAAAAATGCTTGGCTAAGTAGTACAGATCCACTACTAATCCTCTTCATGGCACAAAACAAACACTAGGCAGGTCCTCTACTTTGCTTCCATAGACTAGACCTATGGCACTGAAATTGGCCCTTGAGTTTTGAGATCTTGATCCAGTAGTTGACATTAGTCCTAGGGTCACACACCTAGATACCTACAAATGCCAGGGAAGTGATGCAAATGTGAGATGCAGGCTAACGTAAGACAGAAGACAATGAGTAGGGGAGGGACCATGACCAACTGGAAAGTGTGTGTCCTGTCTCAAGACATTCAAATTTAACAACAAAAATCCCGTGAAGACCAAACACAAGACATTCAGCCTTTGGGACACCAGTTTGTGACCTCTAAGTAGATCGTTTCCTTCCCACTGTGTAAGTATTGCCAAGTCAGGAATATAAGGAATGCAATCTGTAACAGGAGACACCAGCTAGCCTGTGTGACAGGCTGTGTCAAGGTAATTTTCATTTCACTAGAACCATGTTTTTATGTGCTGAGCAATGAAGCAGTAGGTCACTAGCAGAAAGATTCACACACCAGAGAGGAAGACACTTCAGGCAGTGACAACACACATCACATACCTCATACATAGGGCACATTCAAGGTCGGTTGCGTCAAAAGATGGGAGTGGAATACTGACAGCAGGCAAGTCCCCCAAATCAGCAGGAGATTCTGTGATTTAGAAAACAGTAAGTCAGAGTTGGACCAACCTTGGTTTCAGAGAGAACTTGTGAGGCAAAAAACCCAATTACTTTTTCAGTCTGCCACTCTCACCCCTTCCGGGGCGGGGGGGGGGGGG